TCAGAGAGAATAGATGAGAGGCTAGATCATACTTCGTGCTTGCCCTTTCATTAGAGTCTGATTACATATATATAGGAGCCGAGCTCCTTGATCTTCCCCCTTGCTTAACTCATAATCTCTTAGTCTCCTCTTAATTGCCGCTGATAAGTTTGAAGGGACTCCTCGGGCGCGTGATGGCCTTGACCGGCCTGTGGTGCGCCTGTGTGAACATCCGCCGGCTTGGGGCGATGGCTGTAGTGCCGTCCCCACATGACACACGGAACACATGATTATCAGATATCGGAATGCCTGAACTGTCTGCACTCTGTAATAATTCAGATTTAGCTCTTCCTCGGCATACCACATTCTGAAATCCAAACTCCGAGGCTTGGACACCCTTGTGTAACCAAGCAAGTGCATATACCTATTTGCATGATATGACTGGATTGTTTGTGCTCTTGGGTTGATTTTTGTTTGCTCAGTTCAGTAAAGCTTTAATTAAGTTTGAAGTGCCGCAAAAATCATTCACACTTACAACATGAGCTTCACTATTTAAGAAATCCACTGCTGTAAAATAAAATTCCTTTCTCTGGTTTAATCAAGTTAGTACTATATAGTCTTATTTGCTGGTTTATCTTGATCAGCGCTATTATTTTCTTATTAACTACTCCCTCCATTCTTTTTTATAAGACGCTTGACTTTTTTGAATCCAAGTTTGACCACTCGTCTTATTCAAAAAATCTGTACAAACATAGCCAAATTTAAGTTATTTTGAAGAACTTTATTAATAAAGCAAGCCATGACAAAAGAAGTGATATTTTGCATAAATTTTTTAATAAGACGAGTGGTCAAACTTGAGGCAAAAAAAGTCAAACGCCCTATAAAAAGTAATGGAGGGAGTACATTGTAGTGTTCTGTGTTCATATAAAGCACCACTATTTTCGTACAACTAACATGCTTTGTCTTGCCTATCTTGTGCCAACGGACATCAACAAGATTGTTAGTGTTTTATCTTTCTATGCTTCATGTTATAGGCTTTCATTGAAGAAGTCTGATACAATTTCATTTTGGTCAACACCTGACATGGATAGTCAGTTTAAGTATAATTAGCATTTGGCGGTGATTTCAAGGAGATCAACTACAAATTATCAAGCTAAGAGTACTATACAGGCGGTTCCCAACCCATTTCCAATGGCGTTTTACAGCGCCGCCTGGGCTGGGGGCCAGTGGAATTTCTACTGGTGGCTCACTTAGTCAACCGCCAGTAGAAATGGTTTGCCCAGAAAATATGGAAACGCATTTTAAAAATAGCAAAACAAATTAATCCCAGCCAGCCGCCCGTCTCCGTCGAAGTCGCGCATTTTTTGCGTAAAATCGCGCGCAACGCGGCATCGGGGGTTCGAACCAACGACCTCCCCCTCGCGCGTAAACACCTCTACCACTCCACCCATCAGTAACTTGTGCTCATATCCCACTTCGATTCTCCACATATTATCCACAACCGATGGTAAATTTAATTTTTGAGGCTCTAAACGATTTCAAATGAAAAAATGGTGAACTACAAAGTTTCATAACTTTTTAAGATCTACAACTTTCATGTAGACAGTTTTTTCATCCGAGGTTGTTTGCAAAATTTGAATTTCAAATGTTCAAACTTTGGAGGTAATTAACCTCAACTAGATGATTTCAAATCAAAAAAATTTCAACTATAAAGTTTCTTAACTTTTCAAGATCTACAACTTTCATGTAGACAGTTTCTCCATTTGAAGTACTTTAAAAAATTTAAATTTTAAAAATTCATGGATCATTTCTAGTGGCGGATTTCTTAAGCAACCACCAGTAGAAACATTTCTACTGGCGGATTTCTTAAGCAACCGTTTGTAGAAATCGGATTTCTACCGGCGGTTGCTTAAGAGAACTGCTAGTAGAAATGCACCATTTCTACTGGCGGTCGGTTTGCTTAAGAAATCTATCAGTAGAAATCAATTTCTACTGGCGGTTCTTGAATTGGACCCACCGTCTGATTTCTAGTGGCGGATTTTAATCAAAACCGCCTGTAAAGTAAATTCCTAGTGTCAGCGAAAATAGTTTTTGTACATGGACAACATGAAGGTGGTTCGGAGATTCCAGCCAACCTAAACCTGTGTGCAACTATAGGGCTATACTTTGTCATCAATCAGACAAAGTGCAAGGGTTCTCATGGCCACACGAGTGTTTTTTGAGGTCATAATGGCGGAGCTATATATTTACATGTGAGCATTGGACAATTAGTTTTGATAGGGGATTAGTTTGACAGGGGATGGCAACATGTGATAGGATTGAACAAAATGGTGCTCTTATGTAGGTTTATGTATTAAAGGAATGTTTGTAAAGCTATTTAGTGAAGAAGTTCATTGGATGCATGCAGAAATATTTTGCTTGACCACTACTTTCAATGTATCTGTCAGAAAGCTTTTTATGTTGCTTTTTCAATCATATTATGTGTTGTATTATATATTATTGAAATGTAATATTATATTGTCTTTGTAATGATTTCTTTCTCCTGTTGCAACGCACGGGGAATCACCTATACTGTATTATTGCTAAACTTGCCCCATCCCCTTCCCCCAAAACAGTGGGCACACAACTGCACTGATTATTGATAAAAAAAATTGCATAGGTACAATTGAAAAATTACTAAGGTATAATAAGTAAATTGCTTAACCATAACTAAAAAATGCTAGATTCCCAAGTTTATAATCAGAACAACATCTAGTATATTCTATAAGACTAATTAATTGTGAATAAGAAACGCTGGACAACTAAATGATAAGGGAAAGTAGTAGGTATCAACATTATCAAACTAACACAGATTCACTCCTATATTCCCTATAGTATCAGAACAAAAATTTTATAAACGATGTGAAAGTGCCCTTACAAGTAACAATGATGAAGAAACACTAGTTGGAAAAAGCTCTATATATTAGCTGGTATGCCTCCAATAGTTCAAATTCTAACATGCTACTAGAAATGTTTTTACTACTGAATTGCGTTAGTTAGGAAACTACATAAGGCCATTGTGAATTTGTTTTAGAGCAACAAATTGCACCTGCATGCAGGCATACAGTAAACATATATGGGTTTATGCGAATTTGCAGATTGCATGGCTAACTGTACCACTAGCATGCTACATTCCTACTACATGGCTGCTAGCAGATTGATAACACAGGTATAGTAGCAATAGAAGGTTTATCATCACAAATGAAGATATGAAATTCACATCCATTGGCATGCTGCCACAAACCACAAGGTTGTGGAGAACATCAAAGTGAATGGACAAATCCCAAGAACAAAATAGTAGAATGTCAGAGGAATTCTGTAGTAGCATATATGAACATTGAACAACATATTTACATAACTGAAACAGGAAAATAACTTGATTGAGAATGTCGTTGCATTTGTCATAATGAAAAAACTAGAGTACCATTAGAATGAAAGTGACAGAATCAGATCTGTACATGTTGAAGTAAATGCACATAATGAGTTGCAATCACTGTGTGAAGCCAATCCTTCAAAAATGATTAACATGTGTGGATCATATTTGGTCATTAAGCACTACACTACTATATATGTTCACGATTAGTGGGGAAAGATGAAAAGAAACCTACTGGAATATATTCTCAACAGCCAGTTCATAGTTTTAATGCAATGAATCTAACATGATTTATCTGAATTCGAGACACTCTAAAATATCCGAATTTACTCACAATATTTGTAACTAGAGAACAAGAACAGAGCAACCCACTCTGTTTCTCCTAGTAAGAGAATTAGCAGTTGATCTATGGAAATAGAGCATCTCCATTCTCCAATAAGTGAACCAAAACCATGAACAATGCATGGATGTTGGACAGAGCAGAAGGAGAAGCTCGACCTCTGCATCCATGTTGTTTCTGTCCCCTATCGATCGCAGACGAGGAGGCTTGCCATTAGCATAGAGCGGGGGATGGGGGGTCGGCGAAGCGTACATCAACGATGGGACCGGTCCTGCATGACGACATCATTTTGCCCACCGGCGCTAGCTCCACCATTACCTCTGACCACCTCACCGCTCACTGCTACAACGCCCACGCTTCCAGACCACCTGCGTCGCATCTGAAGGGTAGCCATGGCACGGCGGGCGGGTGGGTTTTGGTCGGGCACTAGAGCGAGTCGGCTAGGGTTAGTGGTGTTCTGACATGAGGAGCATGAGGAAGGCATGCTAGTCCTCCTCGCCGCCGGCAGCAACGCGCGGCGCGGCAGGATTCAACGGATCCAGGTGAATTTCGATCAGAGCCAGAGCGGCCGTGCTAGTAAGTGTGTGCCGACCTGAGGGATACCAGGAAGGTGCTCTCATCCTCCTCCTCACCGGTGACTACGGGCCTCCTGGCGGGATCCGACGAATCCGAGGCGGGTGCGGCACTGAATGTTGCCCCTATTCAGGGGCCATGGTGAAGGTGAAGGGAGGAGAAATGGATAGAGACGAACGGAGGAGGAAGCAAAATGAAGATGTGGAGCCCACAGAAATGAATTCGACGTGTGCGTGCCGCAAGACAAATTACGACTACCTATTCAACCAGCCCAACTAGTCAGCAGTGTTTTCGTCTCACAACAACCAGCAAACTGCCACAACCAGCCCAACCAGCCATGCACTAGCGAACCAGCCCTACCAGGCGCAACACTTTACCTTTTAGTTTATATCAAGATAAAAAAATCATAATAGCCTAACAACCAATAAAATCAATTAAAGAACTAGTACCAACTAACATAAAATCCCAAGCAAGAAAATATTTCATTCAAATATTTGTAAATTTTACTAAAACGTATATAGACCCGTAGTGAGGCAGGAGCATTTTTCCTAGTTGCGCTCCTATACTACTACACATAACCACTAAGTGGTTCCTTGTAAACCAAACTGCCAAGTTATTCATTCATGATTTCAAAGGTGCCAAGGCAAAATAGGTGAAATTTGGTTTCGCCTAAGCATCACCTTTGAAACCTAGAATTTATTGAAGGATGGAAGGTGATGATCCATGTGCTGGGGATTGATCTGGGGAGTCGATTTCCATGCCGTGTATGTAGAGAAGCTCAGTAGGATCAGGACCTCCAGGACGAAGTGCTGCCTTGCGCTTATACTCGGCCACCTCTTTGGCATCCATCCCATCGGCGAATTCACATAAACCTGTGTAGTTTTCTCCATTGAAAGCTCTGTTGTAGGAGAGTACAGACCCTGCGGAGCTCTTGAACCTGCTGAACCGGCGAGCCATCTCAGAGCGGTCGCGCTCCTTGTTGTAGAGCTTGCACCACTGCTCATACAAGGCCCATACGGCCTCGTCGGACTCAAAGTCCTTCTCTGTTACATCATATCCTGGCTCAAGTTTATCACCTGCCTCCCACAATAATTAAGAACAACATTGGTGAGTGAGATTGATCTGTCAAGCACAAGGCACAACGAATGAATTGCTTTCAAATTGGTTTGTTTATCGAAACATAAAGAAGGACCGTATTTATAGAAACGAAACTACGGATGGATTATAGGTACTAGTAGTATCACAAGAAGGGGGATGGGGGGAGGGGAGAAAGACGAAACGGGTAGGGACGGTATTGGCTTACGTGTTGGCACGGTGCCGGTTCGGATGCGTCGTAGCCGCTCTTCCTCCTCAGGAAACTCGGTGAGTCTGATGGACAAGGCTCCGCGGGCGGCCTCAGCTGCGGCGGCGGCCGCCGAGCGCGCGGCGTGGGATGCGGCGGCCGCCCAGCGGGCGGCGGAACGAGACGCGGCCGAGCGCGCCGAGCGGGATGCGGTCGCCGATGCCGAGCGGGCGGAGGATCGCGCGGCGCGAGATGCCGTGGCCGCCGCGAAGCGGGCAGAGGCTCGCGCGGCCCATGCGTCGCGGGAAATCTGCGCCAATTCCGAATACAATGTCATGATTGACCGACGTCGACGAATTTTTCTCAGTTTTTTTTTGGCAACGAATCGATCGATCCCAGAAATACAAGCAAACCCTAGGCTCCAATTTCGTCCTCGCCGCCTATATATATATAGAGAGAGAGAGAGGGAGCAGTCACACGAGAAAATAAAGACCATTGTATAAGATAAAAAGAGAGTCCAGTATGTTCCAGGCGTATCCAATACGTATCCAATAAGAAGTTGTGCGCGCGCATTGAGGCGTATCGAATGAGGAGTAGGAAATAGTAGAGACGTATCCAATGAGGAGTCGAGAATCACAGCGTGAGACGAAACGTATCCAATCCAATGATTAGACGAAATAGGAGAGGCGTAAGCAGTCGGGAATCACAGCGTGAGACAAAACATGAGAGATATAGGTGTATCGGAAGAAAAGTCACGACAGGAGAGATGTAGGTACGGTGTATCAGATCGAAGAGAAGTCATGAATTGCTGCATAGGCGAGTTGTATCCTAACATCTATACTTATATTCTATACCCCCCTCCACTTTATAGAACTCAACCCGCAGTCCACAAAGCCATATGCTATCCTCACAAAGATTTTGTCATTAAAGTCCTTCACGTTTTCCCTAAACAACCCACGATCCTCGTCTCCCACTCAACTGTCTCCACTCTCCAGCGCTCAGCCCCTCACTCTCTACGCCGTCGATCGAGGTCGTTCAAGTGCTTCTCCCGCCGTCCGCGATTAGCCCCGCAGGCCACGACGGCCAGGGCTGGGTGCTTCAATTCGCGGCCTCGGCGCCATCGAAGGCACCCGCTCGTCGCTGGAGGTGGCAGATCCATCCACTTCCATGGTCGCTGGTGTTGTACGACACGGGCCCCGACGACGAGGGCCGGCCAGCCGCCCTACAGCACTGGCTCACCAGTCGCTGCCCCGCCGCCCACTGCAGGAAGGTTGCCGAGTCGCACATCAAGCACGCCGCCTAGCCGACCGGTCAGGCTGGGCACATCATCATGAACATGGGAAATAGAGGGAGTGAAAGAGGGGAAAATAAACAGGAGAGATCACCTAATCACGAGCACGGGAAGGACGGGAAAGAGAAGGAAGTGCGCAGAAACAGGCATGAGCCGAGGAGGATGGTGCCGAGGCTTGGGAGAGATCTGAGGCGTGCGGCCGCTGCTAGGGACCAGAGGGGATCTGGGCCAGCTTCTTGAAGGTCCTTGGTCCAGGATTAAACCTTGCGGGCGCAGCCAGAGTCGTGTCCGGCTGTAGTGCACGCAGCGTGTGTGTCGTTGGGGCTCTGGGGCGGTGTGCGTACGTCGTCAGCTGTGTGTACACGTACGCAAGGGCAGTATGCATGGCACGCAAGCAAGAAGAAAAAACAGGACTTGTCGAGATTCCGTTATGTGTGTTAAGCAAATAAATAAATGCTTTCTCCGTTACAAGGAGTAGCTTCAAATGGTTAAAGTCCACTCAAGATCAGTGCATATGAGGCAGTGTTCTTAATTAGGAGTAGCCGTGTTAGCTAGAGTTGGCCGATTTTATTATAAATAAAAGGAGTCCTAATTGATTTATGATCCTGTTCGCAACCTAAACTCATAATTAATTATGTGCTTATATATATATGAGTCCTCTACGTGATCCACATGTGTTTATATACGAGTTAAAGTGTGCATTAAAGTGGGAGGCCGTTTCTTCCCTTTAAAATAGTACGTGTCTAATTAACGATGGTATAAAGTTGTACTTTTAAATGTGCAGATTATGATATAACCCGTCGCAGTATGAACTCATTATCCATCCTCATTCAAATTAGAATAATACATATCCAATAATATATGTTAGAATAATGTATATCCAATAATGGTATATAGAGTATGCTCCGAAGAAAATCCTAAAGCACACTTTTGCTAGTATACTATTAAAGCGAAAAGCGTTTCTTTCGTCCGTCACTCACTCCTAACCACACACTATCACTCACTGTCACCCCCTTCCTTCTCATTCTCACTTTAGGTTCAAAAGCTACAAAAAACTTATTGGACAATGAATGGCTCGTTATCTATTATTTTTATCTTACAACGTGTACACACAATAGTCACATTTAAACTAGTTTAATCTCCTGTTCAATTTCGATGTGGGATTAATTATTTATACGTTAAATGTATTTTGGGCCATAAAAAGTATTTTATCTAAGATTAGGCTGGACACAATAAAAATTAACAAAATAACTAGCTACATATGATGGTTTGTTCTGTTGGGCTTACAAGGCCTAGATATCTTTAACAGGCCGTATTTAAATTTTAATAGGACGGGGGTGTTTGTTTTTCTACTCGCGCATTTTCCTAGTAGTTGTCAAATTAGTTTTAGAAATAGTTAATGTTTAATACTTTAAATTACTGTCCAAACATTCGAAGTGACAGGTGGAAAAAAATTTCAACTCCAAACGATCGGCCCCATAGTTTGTGCGACTGGTTGATATTAGTAGCATATTGTAAAGTGAGAGAGACCGACAAGGGGAGATGCAAATAAAACAAGGGGCATTGCGCTAAAAAAAACTCATATCTTTATTGCCCTGTTGGCAAACACATCTAAAATGATATTGAATTTACTTTTGCTAGATTCGGTTAGAAATCAAGTGAGTTAATGAAATATAATTATGGCTCTTCTGTTGCAACACACGGGCAATTTTTCTAGTAACTACATAAGTCGCATAGGTGTGTGCGATGTGAATAGGAGTCGTCACGAATCATTGTACAAGACGAAATAGAGGCAAACCCAAACCAGGGACAAGACCAAAAAAAAGTGTGGGTAGGGACGCTACCGTTTGTTTAATTGTATATAAGAAAGATATATTAGGAGTTCTTTTTTGAACGGAAGATATAAGGACTTGATGTATTGTAGCTGGGCCCTTAAGGCCACAGTTGAAAGCCCGTGAATTTGTGGAGTAAAGCACCCCTCACTAGCCTCATTTTGAGGCCCGTAAATCCAGGGAGTTACGAATCATGCTCGTGTCTTATGTGTTTTTTAATTTTTAATCTCTTTTCAAAATTACTCATGGGAGATATGACCCCCGGCACCCCACGAGCGTACACGGGCTGGCCTGCTACGGATGGTCCAGCTTTCGGGATGGAGTAGTGCGCCGCAAGTCTTCTGCTCACCGTCCCAGTAATTTTGAATTTGTTTAGACACATAAAATGTTGTTTGAATTTAAATTTATTTTAAATTAAAAATTTTCAAATAATCTCCAATGAAGAAATGTCCAAAACCAAATTTGTAGTACTTGATGAGATATAAAACTTTACAGTTCAAAAGTTTTTCATTTTAATTTATCTAGACACTCAAATATTCATTTCAAACTTCAGTAGGTAACATATAAATGAAGTATCATCTCTTTGGAGTGAGATGGCTAGGTGGGCTCACGCAAGGCCACTTGCTGGAGGTCTTAGGTTTAAACCACTTAGTGCGCGAATCTTTCGTGAGATTAGTGTGCGACTTGCGACTTTTCCATGTAGCCGGTGGGTGCCTCCCAGTAAATTTATTATATCCTATTCTTTGAGCCTATGTTTTTTATTTGTAGAACATGATTTTTAAAAACGGCTGTTGTTACGAACCGCCCCTACAAATAAAACTTTAGGTGCGGCTGTAGTCTAGAGCCGCATGTATAAATGGATTTTTAGGGGAGGGTCTAGAACTTTAGGTGCGGCTGTAGTCTAGAGCCGCATGTATAAATAGATTTTTAGGGGACGGTCTAAATTTTTAGCCGCCCCTTAAAATTGATTTGTAGGGGTGGCCGCCCCTACAAATGATGCATTTCTACAATCATTTGCTTAGAGGCGGCTGTGAAACCGGTCCTGCTAGAAACCATTTCTAACCGCCCTAAAAACCTTCCCTGTAGTAATGAGTAAAAAAAAATCACATGCGTCGAAAAAATTGTTTTTGTACTAATGCTCAATAATAACCAACACTATTACTTTATATGTTTATATTTAATTAAATCTTGCTTAGAATATGTGTTTTCTGACCGGAATAGTATTAGTGATCGACTTGTCGGTTTGCTTCTAGTTTCTATTCATGAAGTACGGTGGCAAAATAAAGGTAGGCAAAGGCAATACACTAGCAGCTCATGCCGGAAGCGTATATATACGAATTCATTAAGTCCATCTTTACGTACACTAGTATAGTGCCCGTGCTAACGCCACGGCTTTATTTTAAGGATAAACATAAAAACACGAAATGATGATAATTTTTCTATGCTAACGCTATTAAGACCTTCGGTAGTATAAATCAAACATTTAAAAGATAATATATGCATCAGTAAGAACGCGTAGATGTGGTATGCTTAAGATTCACTAAAAAATAAATAATGATACATAAAGTTAGATATCAGCACAAATCACATTTGAAACACATTGTTAACTTCACAGGACACACTCGAAGGTTTAGAACTACAGAAAGTATATTTTCTGCCGATCGTTTTCTATACCCTAGATATAGAGGCCTAAGACCGACCGCACTGGGAGACGCCAAACGAACCTGCAGTGACTTATAGTGGAAATTGGCGCCACAGCGGGTACTCCATACCCCATGGTAAACGCCAGGTCGACAGCGGCGGCCGCCAAAATTGGCGTCGTAGCGGACGCCCGGCACCCGCACGCGTGGCGCTAGGTCGACCGTGGAGCCCACCACTGCAGCGCTCGACGACGCCCGCGCCACCTCCGTTCGCCCGCTGGTGGAGATGCAGAGGAGATGCAGAGGAAGGGGAGGACCTCGCCCGCCGGTGGAGGGAGCTCGCTCCGAGCCACCGCGCGCAGCCCGCCGGCGGCTGACCCACGCGCCACGCCTCATCGACGAGGGCCACCGCGCTGGCCCGCGAATGCCGCCGTGGGAGGGGAGGAAGCTTCCATCTGGCCCGCAAGCGCCGCCGTTGGGAAGGGAGGAAGCCGGAGCTAGCCCGCGAGCGCCACCGTGGGAGTTGCTGCGCGAGCATGGCGCGCTGCTGACCTTCCTCGTGGGCGGCGGCGAC